CTATAATTCTGGGTCGATTCCAATTTCTTTAAGAATGGAAATAAACTCTTCATAAACTGTTTAATTTCATCTTCTTCAAGTGGTGTAGAAGGCTCTCTTCAAAGAGTAATTCTAACAAATCTTAATGTCTCTATATCTCTCAACCCTTTCCAATTTCATTTCTTTTGCACAAATCCATCCCTTGCATATCACCACCAATAGTGATATTAAGCTTTTTTAATGATTTCATTTCACTGATATTACTACAAAGACTATCTGTTTTCCAATTACGAATCTTGTTTATAGGAATTCCTTGAATATTTCCATCAATATCATAATATTCATAATTTGTTTTTAATGAAGAAATAATATTTGTTCCTTGATAATTAGTCATTCCACCAAATATCTTTAATTCTTTTATTACATTGTCTTTATCTAAATATAAATTCTCTTTAAATGACTGTAATCCTTCATTTGTTTTCTTATTTATCATTGAAAATTTAACTAACTCTTCATAGCTTCTAAGGTATTTAGCTACACTCATTAAATAAACCATTTCTAACTGTGTCATTTTCAATAAGACAATAACTAAATGATGATTTGATAGTTCTATAACTATTTCTTAGAATAAATTAGAATACTTTAGAATTTATTCTTGTTATTTTTAGTTCTATTCTTAAAATAGTTATACATAACAAAATATTATCATTTTGCCTTTTTATCATCACTTATCTCTTCAATTTAAAAGGTATTTCATCTACTTTGTATTTGAAACAACTACTGTTTATTCTTTAATTCATTATTTATATATATGCTATATAACTTCTCATTGGAATCACGTACTTTTAATACTATAAATTTTTAATAATAATTTTTTTTCATTGGTATGTCTTTTTATGTGCACTTATTACATAATAACAAACTTTTCATTACTCGATTTGTCAATAAATTTTTTGTAGAGGGTATTAATTCTGGTGGTTCTTTTGATTAATGAGTAAAATTCATTTTTTAATTAATTCTTTTTTTTATGTAGATATTATCTAATGATTTGTTTGTGTTTATTCTTTTAGTTTATTGTTCATTTTCTATTACATAAATACTAAAAGGGATATTGAATTGATTTCTGACGTTAATTAGCTAGTTTAGTGAAATGAATAAATTGAATTTCTTAGGTACAGCCAATTCTTGTCATTAAATTAAATCAGTTATATACTAGTTTGTATTATTTGTCTATTGAATAAAACAAAATAACAACAATAAAATAAAATAATTAATGAGAATTTAATTCATTGTAATAGGTGTAAACCATTCTCAAAACAACATAAAATAGATAATAAATGAAAACAAAAATTAGAGTTATAACCTAAAATTATTCATATAAAGATAGTCAATGACTCATTGTTAGTTATTTCATTCTACGTACATTTGAATATTTGATTTCTTAACGTTTCAACAACGTGCTTTTAGTGTTATTTCTTTACAGTAATTCGCATCTTAGATTATTTTATTCATTTATTTAGTTTTCTTCTTTTGATATTCAGTATTAAGACATTTCTTATTACTTATACTTTAATAAACTTGACTCTTTCTTAAACTCCACAACTAAAAGTGTTCTATTAATGAGCCAATCTACAAATTTTAGAACCATTTAATAATTTTAATCTTATTTGAAATTCCAACTCATAATATTTGTGGTATTTATGACTTCAAGAAATAAAAAAAAAATAATAAACATCATTTATTTACTGTCATTGAAAAAGATCTAATATTATTGATTCATACCTAATGCAAAACACAAACACTTTTCATATACTAAAAGAATCTTTAAATGCTTTATGCAAAATTGCTTCTTTATTTAACCAATCCAAAAAAGAAACAGAAGAGGCTAATATAGAACAATTTAATCAATATGTGGAAAGAGTTAACCAATGCTTCCCATTGGTGTTTCGATATCAGGTATCTATACCAAATGTAGAGTCACCAACTGAAATGGTTAATACTTTAGACTTCATTAACAATGTTTTATTGTCTTGTATAACAACACCAATCAGTGAAAGTGTTAACTTTGTGAAGAAAGAAGAAAGCTTCTTAAGAGGGTGTCAATCTGATGAGGCAATTAAACAAAAAATGCAGGAGCTTTTCCAAATGATACAAAACATTATACTTATTAATAATGTTGGTCCTAACATTATCTCAATTTACGAAAGTATCAAGACTGCCAAAGGAGAAGAGTTAAGAAGAGATTGTGACCAAGTAGCAAGATTATTATATGCTTTAGATCAAAGTAACATTACCACAGTGACACTGCAGTTTGGTGAAGATATCATTGACCTTCCACTACAAATTAGAGGGATTGGAAGCATTGACAATAAACCTAACAACGCAGATCAGAAAATAGTTCAAAAAGATGAAAGAAGAATACCTCAAATGAATTACGACCAAGATTCAAAACAAAGGACGTTATTGGAAATTAGAGAAGAGTATCAAAAAATTAAATTAAAGAACACTGAAATGAAAAAAGATTTAGAAATTATTAAACAAAATAACCAGAAAACTGCTAAAGAGATTAATGATGGCCTTTGTAAAATGAGAGAAATGCAACAAAATAAAATCAAAGAAATGCAACAAATGATAACACAGTTGAGAATGAAATCTCAAAACGACGAAGAAACTATTGATAACCTAACAAAAGAAAATCAAAGACTTAAAAATTATATTGAACAAACCCCAATAAATCAAAAGAGTCAAGAAACTTCCACCAAAGAATTACCACCACTCAATAAAGAAAGTAGTAGTGCTAATGGAATTGATGATATACCAATTGAACCAGAAATTATATCTGTTGACATTCCAATCCATCATTACTTCACTGGGTATCAAGAAGAAATAGAAATAAATGGACAAATATTTACTGTCCCAATCACTGTTGGATTATCAGATGGTGCTGAATTTAATTACAAAGGATATGGAAAACCAGTTAATGGAAGAAAAAGGGATTTGATTATTGTTGCCAAAACACAACAAACAGAAAGTTATCAACGACAAGAAAACAACCTTTTCCAAACTGTTGCTATTCCACAAGCTTATAGAAACCAAATGTTCCAATGCTCTATTCCATGTATTGATGGAGACACTATTCCTGTTATGATAACAGGGCAAGAAGGAGTACAAGGGCCATATGAGGGATATGGTATGCCAATTGGAACAACTGGAAAAAGAGGAGATTTATATCTCATAATTAAGTTTAATTAAGTTTCTTTAAAAAATTCAATTTATTTTTACTCAGTCTGTTTATTAAGCACACCCTTAACACTCAGTATCCTATATCTTATTTAACAACTATCAATAATCTAAAAACATATATTTTTTAATTAAAAGAAAAATGTTTTGAAAAAGAAAAATTTAAGAGAATAAAATAAAAATAATAAGTAAGTTAATTGAATAAAACAATTTTGTTATGGAAAAAATTGCATTGTTTAAGAGATCATAAAAGTATTAACAACCCTTTATTCACTTTCAAAACTAAGGTCTAACACTTATACTAAAAAAGAAATATGTATACAATAATTGAGGAAAGCTAAAATAAACATTTAAATAGAGGCTAAATAGATTAGCCCATTATTTGTACCAACAGCAACAATGCCATCATCAAGAGATACTGATGTAGGAATATTAGGAATTTTAAATATGTACCTTCTGTCACCTAAAGTTATTTTATTCCATTGTAATACGATTTGACCATTAGTACCACAACAAATAACTTTTTTATTAAATGTTGCCATACAAGTTGGAATAACAGCAAGATCAGATTTGCATAACATTTTTCCTGTTCTAATATCCCAAGCAATGGAAGCCTTTTCATCTCCACAAGAAATAATTTGCCATTCTCCAGTAACGTCAAACCCTTTAACTGCATTGCTATGGCCTTTTAAGTCCATAGTTATGGCATTACTTCTTCTATCAAAAACTTTAATAGTTTTGTCTAAACTACTTGAAATTAATAAATTTTTCATTTCTTTAACTTGTGTAATAGTTGCCATATGTGGTTTATATTCATTAACAATACTACCAGACTCTAGTTCAATAATAGAAATTGATTTACCCCATCCATAACAATATCTACCATCTAATGAAAAATCCATTTTAGTATAACTTTTTACTATTTTAGTGTTTTCTTTATTTTCATCAATAATTGAGATTTTTCCATCTCCATATCCAATGTAGGTTGTTCTTCCAATTCGTTTGATCCCACAAACTGAAGATAATGACTTTTTATATTTCTTTTGTGTATATTTTTCTTTTGTAATTTCTTGGCTTTCTCCATCTTCATTTCCAACAAAGATAGAACCATTAACATCAATGGCAGTGATTGTTTTATTTCCAAACTGCTGAACTGTTGGTTTAAATTCTGTTGTTCTCCATAAGGCTTGAATCTTTGCAACATTCATTAAATTTTCTTTAGTTTCTTCTGGGTGTAAACGGCCATTATAATAACAAGTTGAGTGGTAAATTCCTTTCCATGTTTCTACTGCTAAACTACCATTTATAAGAGAGAAAAAAGATTTGCATAATAGTTGTACATTACGAATAGAATCTATTCTAAGGTAGCTGAAAATCTTTAAAAGAATAGAATCAGGTAATGAAGTTAATGTTGTTATTTGTTTTTGTTTTGTTTTAGATAAAGTAATTGCATTAAGTAATAACGAAGACATACTTTCAATTGTAATCATTTCAGGTAAATTAGGGTCTGGTGGAGAGACTTTTGGAGGTGTTAACAAAGATGGAGAAGCAATTGTAGCAAAATAATATAATATTGGTGCAACTAAATTTGATAAAAACTTTTCTCTTAAAGGAATTGGAAAAGAGTGTATGATTGGAAGATTTAAAAGAATGCTAAAACGTACCCTGGTATCATCATCATCACAATGCCTAAAAGAAATAACACTTTCTTTAAATTCTATTAAGTTATGATGTTCATGAAGACAACCAGGATATTGGATTGTTTTAAATATTAAAGCCATCCAATCAGGCGTAATACGGGAACCTTGTATTATATCCATTGAAATAAGTGGTTGTACTAATGGACTAAATTGAAGATGTCTATAAGAAAGAATAGGACCATCTTTAATTCCTATATTTTCTGATATAATACTCATTAATCCATTTTTTGTTGAAACAAGATCATAAAATGTTTGTGGACGTAAAGGTACTTTAATATCTGCTTGAATAAACATTTTATCTCCTTCTTCATTAGCAGTTATTCTTACACGATGGCTTTCATGAATATAACGACTTAATGGAGGTGAGGTATAACGAGGATAACAAGCATGTTCCATTGATACTAATATTCTATATTCTTCAATTCCTGAAAGAGCTTCAGACAAACATTTAAAAATTAATAAACATGAAGATAGTAATTGAATTGGTTGGGCATTTAGGTAATACAAAATATGAGCAATACATTCATTTCCCATTTCTTTTAAAATTATTAATATTTTTGGAATACCTTGAAGTATTACAGTAAATGATGTATTATTAACTGATGTAAAGAAATTAAATTTATATGGTACAAATGTTTGTGCTAATGGACTTAATATCATCCCAATATATTCTTCACCTTTTTTTTCTACACTATGAAGAAATGGATACCATTTTGTGATTATTATTGGATTATTTAAAAAAGTATATATACTACATCCTTTTAAAGTCATAGAAAATTGAACATCAACTACAGTAGTCTCAGTACTTTTATACCTTGCCTCTTTACATCCTTGAACATTAGGAAATATTTCCCATCCATTACTATTGATTTCATTATCTATTATTTCACTCCAATTTTCCATTAATTTTTTAAGATTTTTATAAATTTTTTTGTTATTTGATTAATCAAAAATTTTTGTGTTTATCAAATTTTTCAGATTTTTTAAAATAAAGTAGTAAATATAATAAATAGTATTATAAAAGAAGAATAAAATAAAAAAAATTATATAAAATAATAAAAGATAATTAAAAATATAATAAAATTGAAAAAAAGAAGAAAAAAGAAAATTCAACAACAAAAAAAAAAAAGAAGTCAAACAAAATTGAAGATTAATTTTGGAATGTTTAAAAGCAAGTCACCAAATACTCCAAGAGAGTCAAAAGAAAGTAATGAAAAAACAATTACAGTTATACCTCATGTATATGTTCAAAATGAAGATAGATCAATGATTGATGGAAATATAAAGATTTCAGTTAATTTGAGTATTCTAACATTCCAATTTAGATCTTCTATATCATTAGATGGAAAATCAAGATCAAAAAACAATACATTTAGTATTACTTTTACTATTGACGATATATCTGGACTTTGTATTTCATCTCCTATTAATAATTTTGATACAATTAATTTTTCTACTATAGAAAAACATCTTCCTTCATTCTTCTTTCCAAAAGATAGTGAGTTTAATGTTTATTTTTTTCTTAATGTTATTATAGAAAATGGATTTACAATAGTACCGTTTGTTATATTGTTTTTAAATATAATTAATTATCAATAAGTTGGTTATTTATATAATATAGAAAAGATGGACAACAAAACGTTTTTATTATTCATAAACGATTAGAAAAAGTTGCTGATATTTTAAGTTCTAGTCCAATTGATTTATCTCAAATTACTCCAATTGATCTTAAGACAATTCTTTCATTAGCAAATGAAGATGGTAGTTTTGAAATTTCTGCACAAGAAGATATTAGAAAATCAACATATTTTAGTGGATTACAACCTGATGCACGTATATTTGTATGGAAACTTGTTTTAGGATATTACCAATTTGATATGACAACTAAACAACGAGAAGAACTTGATCAAAAACGAAGAAAACAATATTTTATGATTAAAACACAATGGGAAAATTTTGTTCCTGAACAATTAACAAATTGGATAACAATGAAACAAACATTAGAACAAATAGATAAAGACGTTAGAAGAACTGATAATAAACATGAAAAATTTTTTAATGAAAAAAATGTTGTAATGTTACGTGATGTATTAAGAACATATGCATTATATAATTGGAGAATTGGATATGGTCAAGGAATGAATGATATTTGTAGTTTAATTATGGAAATTACATTAGATGAATCAGAAATATTTTGGTTATTTAAATCAGTTATGGATATGATGGAACAATTTTATAAACCAAGAACAAATCACGAAGTACAAAACTTTGAAGAAGTTGGATGGATTATTAAATTCGTAAATCCATCTTTATATGATTATTTTATAAGAAATAATGTAAATTATTTGTTTTGTTATAGATGGATTGTATTATTATTTAAACGTGATTTTAATTCACGTGATTGTCTTAATGTTTGGGATCGTATTTTCGCTTATCCAGAAAGAAAATTGTATTATTTTATTTGTAGTGCTATTATCCTGAAAAATGGTGACCAAATAGTTGAAAAACAAAAGGGATTTGATGGAATGGTTGAGTTTTTACAAGACATGCATAAAAAAATTCCTGCACAAGTTGTATATGACTCGGATATTATTTATCAAGAATTTAATGAACTTGCAGATAAAAAGTATTTGGAATTAATGTTTCAAAACTAAAAATAATTTCTCCTCTATCTTTCATTTTTTTTGTTTTTAATTTGTTTTATATTTTTTAGTACCATAGAATTATTGTCTAAAAATCTCATTCAAATATATTCTTTTTAATTTCTAATCAATTAGACTTCTTTTTTTTATTAGATTATTGTATTTTTATTTATTATTTTATAACATAGATTTTTTAAACTTGTAAAGTGTGGATTATGTTATTATTTTATTTCAAAAGTTATTTGTTTAAGAATGAGTAAATAAGATTTAAATAAAATAATTAGACTAATTAACTTTTCCTTTATTGATTAAATAAAATTTAAAATAACTTGTTGATATTAGAATGAGTTATTTGGTGTTATTAAAGTAGATCTGAATACTTTTCTATTTTATTATATTCAATGTTTATTTTAAAGTTTAACAACCATTTATTTCTTTTTCTATTTGAACACATAATTAGTTTTATATTTTAATTGTTTGTTCTTTATTAATTAATTTAAAAAGAATTAAAACAGACTGTTTTCATATCTTTTAATGATAAAAAACTTTTTTAAAATATAGTTGGATTAAAATCTAGAACCAGAACAAATGAAATTATGTTTCATCTTTGAATATATTATCTACTTATTTTCATTTCAATTATTATTAACAGCGAATTATTTATTTAAGTTATGATTAAATAATATCATAAATAATATTTCTATTAAATTAAAATATTCATTATTACTGAATATAATCTAAAGATTGCTATTTTTAATAAATTGAGTAATATTTATATTGATATCTGACAAAATTAGGTTTCAATACTCTTTTCAATGTATTTTCTTATAAAATAAATTTCTATTTAATACCTGTAATTATTGTTTCCGATTTAGTAAATAATACGACAATAGAATTTATTTAATAGTAAATTAATTCATTAAATTATAAATAAACTCACGCAATAATTTACCAGTTTTGATTTAAAGTATAGACAGAGTATAAGGAGTTAATAATTAATATAAGTATTAATACTGAAGTTAGTAAAACATTTCTTTAATCAACAATACTTATTATATTACTGGAACATAGTACTTATAAGATTTTAACTTAGTGTAATATTTCAATTCTTTTAATTTTTAATCACCATTTTCAATACATGATGAAAACCTAACTATAGGTAATTTATAATTAATTCCTTTCTTTTAATCATCATTTTTAATAAAAATAAAAATGAAATTTTTTAAATAATAATTAATTCAAAGAATAAATTTGATTTAGTTTTAGCATTTAAATAATCTAAGAAGTATTTATAAGTTCATTTAATTATGCAAGAGCTTCATGATAAAACTATAGAGCCAATAAACCAAGGAACAGGTGACTTTGAATCCGAATTCCAAAACAGTGAAAGACCAGACACCGTAACTAGAAGTGAATTTAATGAACTTAAAGAACAGGTACACCATATCGAAATTAAATTAAACGAAATGCAAGAATCAACAGAGCCAATAAAAACAGAAAGGGTTACTAAAAAAGTTAATAAAAGCTATTTAACAAAACAAGAGATAGATAAATTTACTGAAGAATTTAGTGATTTAGTTGAAGAAAATAATGTTGACAATAAAATAAATGAATTATTTGAGATCTATAAATACTCTGATGAGAAAATAGAAGACCTTACAAGGAAAGTGGATACCAATGATACGAACATTAAACTTAATCTTCAGAGTGCTCGTGATAAACTAAAAGGTGATGAGAAAATAACGGATTTTAATGATGACCAATTACTTCAATACTTTGAATTAAGACTTAGAGAAGAAAGGGGACAACATGCCTCTTGTCAAGACAAACCTGTTAAAGCGTTTGTTTCAAAAGAAGAAGACAGTCAATTAGAGAAATGGACTGGATTAAAGAAAGGACAACTAATTTTTGACTCTGTTTCAGACAAATGGGATACTAAGTCATCTGAGTTTGGAAGAAGAATTATTGAACGTTCCAATATTGTCATTATTATTGAAGACAATCAACACAATAAATTTGGAATATTTTTGCATTCATTTATCAAAATCTTTGATGAAATAGTTGAAGATCAAAACGCATTTGTATTTTCATTAACATCTAACCACAGGTTTGATGGAATGGTCAAATTTGATATTAAAAAAGAAGAAGGAAGAAACGCCTTTCTTCTCAAGCCACAAGGAAACAATATGTTATTTAAAGTGGGTTATGGTCCTGACATTGTTATTTATAAAAATGATTCTCAAAACCAGTGCCAATGCAAACAAGCATCATTTGACTATAAAATCAATGGACAAGAAATTCACTATGCATTGACAGGTCGTATGGACCAGAAGTTTGTTCCACAAAGAATAGTAGTATTCCAGATGGAAAAAGAGTCTAATGATGACAAGGCAGTTGCCTGAATAAATTAATTGGATTTTTTTCATGCGTTTTAGTTAATTTAACAAGAAAAGAACAATAACAATTTAATTCAAACAAATTACAATGCCATTTACATGTCCAATTAAAATAGAGGTATTATCATCTGAAATTTTCAGAGATTCAATTGGTGTTGGATAACTAGGAATAGTCAGATAATGAACAAACTCAAGACTATCATTTAATTTCAAAAATATGATATTACCTTTTATATCACCAATGACAATGAACGTTTTGTCATTCCACAATGGTGTTTGTGTAATAGCAACAGAAGTGAGTTGGTCATAGTCAAACCATTGACTTTGGCTTATTAAATCACCGTTTATATCATAATAATAAAGTTGGTGTTGCGTTAATACAATAAAATTTCCTGTTTCATTGTTAATATCTAATCCTATCACACATTCTCCCACTTCAATTACATGTAAACACATTAACATTCCAATATCCCAAATCAAACAAACTCCATCTTGGTCTCCAGTAATAA